CCAGCAGTGAGTGACTGAGTGACAAGACAGGTACCAAAGCCTGGGGCTGGGAGAGAGCGAGAAAAGGGCCCAGCTACACTCACTGCACCGCAATACTGCGGCTGGCCAGCAGAGGGCGGTGGTGTCAACGTGAAATGGAAACAGGAGTAGGAAGGGCCAAATGGACGCTTAGATATCCACCCACCATCCCTCCACCTATCACCTGTCCGCCCACCTACATGTTGCTAGAGCCCCTACTGTATGCCAAGGACTGTCTAGAAAAAACAGATTTTAAGGGCTGAAGGATCATTAGGTCATGTAATACTATCAGCTCATTGACACATGCTGCCAACCCAGTTTTTACATTTTGATTGGGAGATATTTATCTATATAAATAATCCTACTTTTCAAAGCATTCACATACATATTATTTCACTGGGATCTTAAATCATTCCACCGAGGTAGTAGTGAGAAATGCCATAATCCCTGTTTTATTTTATTTTTAAAAATATATTTTTATTGATTTCAGAGAGGAAGGGACAGGAAAGAGAGATACAAACATCAACGATGAGACAAAATCATTGATTGGCTGCCTCCTGTGCGCCCCCTACTGGGGATTGAGCCCACAACCCCAGGCATGTGCCCTTGACCGGACTTGAACCAGGGACCCTTCAGTCGGCAGGCTGACGCTCTATCCACTGAGCCAGACCAGCTAGGGCTTTAATCCCTATTTTAAAAATTAAGACCAATGTGTGGCAAAGAGAAGCTAAGTGTCCTCAATCACAGACAGTTTAGAAGCAAACTGGATCTTCGGACTTGTCACTCACCCGCCACACCATCTCCTTGAAAGCCCCATTGGCGCGCTTCCCAGCCCGGGAAAGAGGAACACGACGCAGCTCTCACATCCGCATTTCGCGCCTCCCATTAGGCTCCTCGCATTAGGCACCTGGCGCGGCCACAGGACCACACTCCGGACAGCAACCCTTACGAGCAGTGTCAACACTTACCAGGGGCCACTAGCCTGTTTCTCAATGGGATAGAAGGAAAGAGATGACGCGGAGAGGAAATGAAATCCAATGCAGTTAAGCTCTAATCGGTGTTTTCTTTGCTCTGAGGATGGAGGAGACGGAAAAAGGAAAAGGTGAGGGAGGAGAGACAGTGGAATCGGGACGGACAATGTGAGACTGGAGGTCGAAGCGGCACAGGGGGAGAGGGGAGCCAGGGTCCCCTGCCCACTGGGCAGCGGAGGGCAGGGTCGGTGCTGGGCACAGCCGGAGCCCAGGGGAAGGCCCTCTAAGCAAGGCGAGTGCAGGGAGGGGCCTGTCATTTGCACGGAGACCCAGCTGCGACTTCAGATGCCCCATCAGACCCAATTGCAATGAAAACCAGGCCCCTTTCCGCAGAGACCTCCACCCGGATCCTCAGAGGAGAGAATGGAAAGGAAGCCCAAAGCCCAAACCAGCAGGCCGGGCAGGAGGGCCCCGGAGGGGAGGGAGGGCCGCGGGCTAACTTCTGGAGAGAACGTGTGGAGGGCGGGAGGGAGGCCAGGGAGGAGAGGCAGATGTGGCCCGGATGCTGAAGACACAGGCGTGTTTAGCTCCACCTCGAAGCAGAGCTCACATTTAGGAACTCACTTGCTCTACCAACACTGACTGTGACTTAGAAAACGAGGCTCTTCGGGTCTCGCCCATCCCCCGACCGACCGGCTTCACTACCACAAACCGACCGAACAGCCGCTCCTTCTCCGCAGGGGAACGCAGAGCTCCCGCACCCGGGGCCCGAGCTCCCGGGCGGACCCAGTGCTCACTTCCGGGGCGCTCCTTGCTCTGGGCCACTTGCAACCGCAGCCAAGTTCACTGTTTTCAACTGTCCCCTCGGATCACTGTGCTGGAGGACCAGCCAGGAACTCCGCCCCTGATCCCAGCGAGCACGCCCACCCCAGACACATCGCCCCACAGCCTGGCTCCTGCCCTGCCCTCGACGAGGCACGTCTTCCACGGGATTCTGTCCTGCGCTGCTGAGGAGGAGGCCTCCAGGCAAGGGCTGGGCAGCACATTCTTACTCAGAGGAAACTCATCGAGCCTCCAAGCCACAGGGATGACCAGCCTGGAGCCCCATGTCCGTGACTTCCTCCCTATCCCGGCCTCAGCGCCCAAGGTGCCTACAATGCTTTCAACACGTCACAGTCACTTTAATCTCATGCTTGTAAGACCTAATCACCGATGTTCTTGAAAGTCTCTCCTCCCCCGGGAGACACACGCCTCCTCCATTGTCCTGTCTGGGCCGCTGGCTCCTCTCCCGCTACCGAGAGGAAATGCAGTCCTTCTCCGATGACGATGACACGCCTTCCAGCGCCCTCGCTCCGGCTTCCGTGCCTCCAACTCTGCCCCCCAGCAAGGCCACCACCGCCGCCCGCCGCCTCGGCTCCGCAGCTCCCAGCTCCAGGGCACAATCTGCGGCCAGGACATTTCCTCCACAGAGTCCCCAATGTCCCGGAGTACCTCCCACTGAAAGCCATCCCCACCCTCTCCCCTTTCTCAACAGCATGATCATTTCCTGGTCTCGCAGGCTGCAAACCCACCTCTTCCATCTCCCCCCATGAACGCGGAGTCACTGAGCCGTCAGTGGTACTTCCTTCGGGGAAGCTCCCAGCCCCTGCTGTCTCCCCCCCACACCCCCGCCCCAGGGCAGCAAGGCAGGTCCATGCCTCCCGCTGGCCGCCTCCAGCAGCCTTCTAAGTGGCCTCCTCCATCTCCTTCTCTTCCACACCCACTCACAATGTTGTCCTTAAATCTGTCTGAATGTAAGCCCCATAGTACCTCCCGGCCCGACCGGCATCCACATTCACGTCTAAACTCCTGGGAATGGAGCTGAAGCGCTCAGCTGAAAGAATCTGACACTTACCTATATTTAGACACTTTCTCTCTCCTTATGCCGCTGAGAGTCCCAGTACTTTAGTCCGACTGATCTCCTGTGGTTTTCTTACTGTGGTTCTCAGCCTGCTGCCTCCCAACTCCACACCACCGCTCACTCCTCGCTTCCCCTCCTTCCCCACCTACTGGGCGGAGTCCTGTTCATCCTTTCAGGCCCGTCTCAAACCCCACCTTCTCCGGAAAGTTCTCCGAATCAACACCTCTGCACTGATTGAGCATTTAACACATCCGCCCCTCCCAGGTGGCCCAGGGGCTGTGCGCTCAGGTCTGCTGTTTGACTCTCCCTGGTGAACGCCTTCATCCCCATGGCGTTAACCACCCCCAGCACCAGGACATCTCCAAAATCTAATCCCAGCCTGTTAATATTAACAAAAGAGCAAATCGTTTGGGGATGTTCCATAATTCCTGGCCCAGCACCAAGCATTCATTCTGTATTACCTTATTTAACTGTCTCAACCAACCTAGGAAGCATTAATGGATATTACTATTAGTCTTATTTTTCAGTTGATAAAATTGAATTTTTTTATATATTTATTGATTTTTTACAGAGAGGAAGGGAGAAGGATAGAGAGTTAGAAACATCGATGACAGAGAAACATCGATCAGCTGCCTCCTGCACACCCCCTATTGGGGATGTGCCCGCAACCAAGGTACATGCCCTTGACCGGAATTGAACCCGGGACCCTTCAGTCCGCAGGCTAACGCTCTGTCCACTGAGCCAAACCAGTTAGGGCTAAAATTGAATTTTTGACTGACCGATTCACACGAAGTCCCACAGACGGGTAAGGCGCAGGCCCGGAGGTGAAGCATGGGCCTATCTGATTAGCGAGTTTCTCAGAGCCACGTATTCAAAATGGTTGTTAGCTGGGGTGGCTGGGGAGCTGGGGAATAGAGAAAAGAAGGAACCGACCTGCTGCCTCCAGCCTTCCCTCTGTCCTCTATGTTGCTTCTAAACGTGAATTCCTCACTTCGGACCACCCTCTCCCATGGCTACGCCTCTACGGTTTCCCCCCAAGCCCCCCCCTCCCCGCCGCGACCCTGCACCACACAGAAGCTTCGGAGCTCTAGTTCCAACTCAGCAAAATCACTGCTAGACTCGCTCCAGTCGGAGACTCTTTTAACAGGCAGCCCATTATCCTACGGCTTCGGACGTCCCGCTGAGCAAATAACACCAAGTCCAGCCCTGGCGGCTGGCTCAGCCGGCTGGAGCATCCCCACGCCAACAGCCCAGGCTCCAGTCCCAGTCCGGGCACATGCCTGGGTTTCAGTGTGATCCACAGCTGGGGCGTGTATGGGAGGCAACCGATCAGCTCTCGCTCGCTCTCTCTCTCTCTCTCTCTCTCCCTCTCCCTCTTTCTTCCTCTCTCTCAAAATCAATAAATACATCCTCGCGTGAGGATCACAAAAGTTCCTGTGTCTCTCAGAACCTGCAGTCCCGTGTCTTTCACACACACTCTAATCTGGTCCTGCCACCACTACTGATAATCTATTGCATTATTTCAAACTCTTGGGATTTGTTTTTATTTCACTTTTATTAGATTTATGTTCTGCTCATTTACTCCCGGGCCGCAGGCTTTTGTTTCTTCAGTTTCTTCTGGGAGATCTTTCCCTTCTGTGCAGCCTCCTGCTCCGGCTGAGGGGCCACCGGGTCCTTCTCGGTGAGGAGCGTCTCAGGGGCAGGGAGCGCTCGGGGGGTTCACCCGCCCCCGGCCCGGCTGGTTCCAGGCCGCATCTCGGGGCTTAGTTCACCTGGATGTGCTCAAGCACCAGAGTCTACACCGGAACCCGAAGATCAGCATCGCTCTCTGATGGTTAAGCTCGTGAAGCCAACATTCAGTGCTCTTTCTGGGCCACCGACCCCTGTCGAGCCCACTGTTGGGCCTGGGCACACCTACGACTCCACCACTAACGACGGAAGGGCGCCCCTGCTGCTTTAAAGGGACCTCCTTCCGACACTTGGCGGCTTTTCGAATCTGCATGCGCTTGATGGCCTGGGCAGTTTCACGAGTGTTCTTAAAGTGAACACGAAGACCTGAGCCCCTTGATTTGCATGATTTTGTGGGGTTTTCTGGGTCTAGCGAATAGCGAACCATTTTCAGAGGTCACCTCTGGCCACTTTGGGGCCAAAAGCTTGGGATTTTAAAGCTGAAACTGACCTCAGATTTGCTACAGAAAGGGAAGGAAGACTGGTAATGAAGGGGCTGGTGGACGAGGATTCCCTTCCGGAGTTTAGAGTTAATACACCCAACTCGCACCTTCGCTTATGAGAAACCTGAAAACAGGGAGGCTATGGCCTGGCCCAGGAAATGTGACCTCACATCTGGATCTTCCTTCCACAAACGTCTGCTGAGCACCTGGCACAGAGCTGGGCGCTCACGTCCACGCGGGGAGGGTCTGCTCAGCACCTGGCACAGAGCTGGGCGCTCACGTCCACGCGGGGAGGGTTTGCTCAGCACCTGGCACAGAGCTGGGCGCTCACGTCCACACAGGGAGGGTCTGCTCAGCACCTGGCACAGAGCTGGGCGCTCACGTCCACACAGGGAGGGTCTGCTGAGCGCCTGGCACAGAGCAGGGCGCCCGCGTCCACGTGGGGAGGGAGAGGACCCTGCGCTGACGTTCCGTCGGAAGAGCCAGGTGCCTGCTCCTCGCATTTCAGTGTCAGCAACCACTGGCGATGGGAGCGAGCGAGGGAATCCTGGCCCGGCTTGAGGGACAGGAAAGGCTTCCTTATGGACACGGCACTCGCCCGCCGCTGTGCCTCAGCTGGGCGTCGACCTCTGAACCAGGAGGTCACGGTTTGATTCCGGTCAGGACACATGCCCGGGCTGCGGGCTCAGTCCCCAGTGGGAGGCGTGCAGGAGGCAGCCAAGCAGTGATTCTCTCATCATTGATGTTCCTATCTCTCTCTCCCTCTCCCTTCCTCTCTGAAATGAATAAAAATATATTTTTTAAAAGAATATGGCACTGAGACTTAAGCCAGATTCAGGAAAATGTGTTAGAGTTAGGAGCCGAAGGGCATGACAGGAGCAGAGAGAATGGTTCCGGAAAGAAACAAACAGAGGTTCTAGGATGAACAACAGCATGGAGGCCTGAACTACACTGAGCATCACCAGAGACAGGGTGTGACTGAAGCAAAACGTGCTTGAAAGAGACTCCTGTAGTCAACGCTCCCCACAAAGGCCCACTGAGACCCCCCAACACCACCGGCCGCCTGCAGCTCCTGGTGGGGGGCGGGGGGCAGCGGTCACTCCCTCCCATTCCTCCTGTTCTTGAGCTCTCCAACAAAGACCGTTCTCCTCCTCCCCTGCTTACCTTGCTAGCAAACAGTGCTTCCTTAAGTCTGACCACAGTACCTCACGCTACCATCTGATCCTACTCCCTAGAGCAGTGGTTCTCAACCTTCCTAATGCCGCGACGCTTTAATACAGTTCCTCATGTTGTGGTGACCCCCAACCATAAAATTATTTTCGTTGCTACTTCATAACTGTCATTTTGCTACTGTTATGAATCGTCATGTAAATATCTGATATGCAGGATGTATTTTCATTGTTAAAAATTGAACATAATTAAAGCATAGTGATTAATCACAAAAACAATATGTAATTATATATGTGTTCTCCGATGGTCTTAGGCGACCCCTGTGAAAGGGTTGTTCGACCCCCAAAGGGATTGCGACCCACAGGTTGAGAACCGCTGCCCTAGAGTGACCTTGGGCGGAAGTCCTTGAAAAACTGGGGCATGTGGAACGAGGACAAGGGCCAAAGGCTCCCGGGCCTTCTGCAGTGACTGCTCACCTCCCACCCCCACCCCCGGGGCGGGGAGCCCCCACCGCTCTGCTTGGCTTTCTCTCCCACCCTCCGCCCCACGGACACAGGCAGGTCTCGGCAGCAAGCCGGCTCCGGGCCAGCCACCCCTGCACTGCTCATAAGCAGAACCCGCAGACGGAAGAGTTCGGTAATGTCCCCTGTCTTCAAAGAAACCCATTCTATCTGCCCCAGAGATCACAGAACCTGGACCTGCTGCCCATACCCCACGCCTCCCCCTGGTGGATGGCGGCAGCGCCCCTCCCACTCTCCACCCCGCCCCCCGCCTTTCCTCCCGCTCACTCCCAGTCCTGGGCACCTCCTGTTCACTCCAGTCCCCCCACCTCGAAAGCCCAGCCCTGCGACCACCTGGGAGATCAGCAGAGCTGACTGGCTTCCCTGCAGGCACTGCTCCTGCCTCAAGCCCGCCCCACGCACCCGACCTCCAAGGCGGCCACGTAACCAAAAAGGGAGAAAGCCAGTTCACAGGAAACCCTCGCGTGCTGAGGCCTGCGTGGGCCACCAGGCTCAGGGCGGAGGCCAGCGCTGCCCCCTGCTGGGCGACCTTGGCCTCTATGCCTCCCTTTCCTTACCGGATGAACGAGAGACACTGATGCTTACCTCCCAGGACCATGGTTAAACGCAATAACACAATCACGTAAGTACAGTACAGGTGCTTGGTACATAGTGAGTGCTCAGTATTACTGAGGTCTCATCACAAACGCCTTTGTTCCTCTCTGGGGCGTGTGGAACACGGATCCTTGCCCCTCCCCTCCCAAGCATCACCCCACGACGGGGACCAGATACACTGGGTGGCTCCTTAAAGCGCAGAACCCCAGCCCCACCCCCTCAATTCACGGCCACTCTGGGGGAGGGCTCACGAACCTGCACCTGTGTGTTAAATCAGCACCACAGCTGATGCTGTCCTCTAGAACGAGGGTCACTGTCCCGAGGACGAGTCTTACAAGGACCAAGGAGTCAGTGCTGTGTCCTCGGTGTCTACCACTAGGGGGACTTGCTGGAGCAGAAAGGCAGCTGACCTGTCACACCTGCCCTGGTGCAGAGCCCGGAGCTGCTGTGGCTGAGCCGGGAGACGCGGTTCTCAGGGTCTGGCTGCCACTCAGCACCCGGGGGGGATGATGTCCCCTCCCATCCCGTGCCAATTCCGAAGGTTCATCCATATGCCTCCTCAGTTCTTTACAGCATCACTGCAAACACCATGAGAACTCGCCAGCTCCACTATGAATTCTCCCACAGCACATGCTCAAGTGTCTGAGCTAGAAAGACCACAGGTGTATTTGCATAACATTTGCATGAGATTTACATGCTCCCTGCAAATGCCTCCCTGCTGCTGTCTACCTACACAGGCTCTAAATTCAGCTTATTTTATCGGACGCCCTGCAGTGACGGTGCCTCAATTCCTTTCTGCACTCCGGCCTGTCGCTCAGCAGTGTCTGTTCCCTCATGAGACCACAGCACGTCGGTGGGAAGACAGACCCACTAGCACTGAGCAGAGGAGGAAAATGGCCCAAATCCCAAATCCCAGCGGGGGCCCAATTCCCCTTGGGCCCTCCTCCTTAGAAAGCAAAACACCGCCTTAACCGGTTTGGCTCAGTGGATAGAGCATTGACCTGTGGACTGAAGGTCCCAGGTTTCAATTCCGGTCAAGGGCATGTACCTTGGTTTCAGGCACATCCCCAGTAGGGGGTGTGCAGGAGGCAGCTGATCAATGTTTCTCTCTCATCGATGTTTCTAACTATCTTTCTCCCTTTCTCTCTGTAAAAAAAATCAATATATATATATAT